CTGAAATTACTGAATTCCATGCTCAAAAGCGCCTTGCTTGGGCCTAAGAATATGAGCATTTTATGCCTCAAGATTGGGCCAGAGTCCGCTGGTCTGATGAATGCACAGTTGAAAGAGGTGCTGGAATTCAGCCAATTTGGACCTTTCTACGCCCTAGTCAACAACTTCTTGAGATGTCTGCACACACCGTACTGGAAAGAGTGTCAAGCAGATGTTTTGGGCTGCTTTTGGAGAAGACACTCATACTGGTCTTATTCCTTTGGATGGTGATCCAGAGGCACCACGAGGTGGTGTAACAGCCCAAGTTATTTATGATCTTTATCAAGCTTTTTTACCTGAATTCATCCAGCCTGGGGACATCTTTATGCAAGGTAATGTCCCAGTACATACGGCACGCATTGTCAAGGATATTCTTGAGGAATTACAGATTCAGGTCATGGTCTGGCCACCATATTCACCTGATTTAAAACTTATTGAGAATCCCTGGGCTCTCATGAAGCAGCAGATTTATAAGCTGTATCCTGAGCTTGAGCATGCTTCTAATTCAGAAGAGACACGTCAATTATTAATTGGGGCTGCTAAAGAGGCACGGCATAGCATTGATCAGCAAGTGCGGGTTAAACTGTCTTCTACTATGCCTAACCGTGTAAAGGCAGTTATCAAGGCAAAGGGTTGGTATACGAAGTATTAGACTGGCAGAATAGCACAATATCATTGGCTGATGCAAGCGGTCATTACTGGCAGTAAAGGGGGGGGGTTCAAACTTTTTACCACACAGTGTAGCTTGTAACTAGTATTATTATTATTATTATTATTATTATTCATACACGCATCTGTCAGCCCTATAGGCCGAGTGGCGGCAGGTCCTGCGGGGCAGCCGGGGAAGCCGCCGTAATGGTAGTCGCTATGTACATCGTCGCCTTTATACACATATCCTGATATCTCATTCCGCATGTTGTATAGCCCGTGCTGCTGGTTTTCGTGCCGCTGTTCCCATGGCCACGAGGATCCATGGGCTTGTTGAATACTATCTCGTTCTTTTAACTAGTATTTAATATATATAGGATCTAATAGTAATTCTATATGCTGATGATGATGTCTTCCATTTTATAGAGCATTTTCCAGTCTAAGACTAGTGCCTATGAGGCCCCAGCTAGGGCATCAAAGGCTGACATATGTAATGAAGTAGAGAAACAAGGCCAACTGAGTATGTATACTCAGTTGTTGGTTTAGTGTGGATGAGTCAGAACTAGAAAGGTAACAAATGCTTTATTGACAAGAAATAATCACAAAGAACTAAGCTAAGTACACGAATGAGTTATCAACTTGATCCTTGTTCCTTCCTGCATTCCATAACTCATTATCCAATGATTCTGCCTTAACTCCCTGCACAATCACATAAGATGATACATTGAGGTATTGAGGTCTCTAACATATGCAATGGATTTGCTGCTGCTGGTCTAGTCCCATATAGACCTGAGAATGTGCTTTATGAGCTCCATATCCAGATGAAGACCCCTACACTACCAGGCAACTTCAGAAGCAATCTGAACTTATCAAGCACCTTTGGAGGCAGTGTACACACAGCCCACCAAGTCCTATCAATCAAGCAGTTGAGCAAGTGGTCAAGGGTGCTCAAATGGCAATGCAGAACGCGCTGGTTTTAGAGCATGTGGTTAAGTAGCCACATGCTGCTAATAAACACCAAAAGTGCAAGTGGGATACTACTAGGGCCTTTATAGCTGGTGGTGGTATTCTGACTGGAGCAGAGGGTCAGCAATGCAATCAGGAAGCTGCTGATTTACTTGGGGGGGGGGTGGATGAAGATGGTGAGAGACCATGAAAGCGAGCACTACCACACTGCAGCAACTGCCATTAAATAGGACATTAGATCTAGCTGCACTACTAGATAAAGCATTATTATATATAAAAGTGCCTTGTTTTACTTGTTCTGTTGCTAGATAACTTACTTTTTTAACTGAAGTAGGCAGACATGCCGCTCGCTCGGTGTCCGATTACGTTAACATTTATAATATTTATAATCTTCTTTGGTTAGTTATTTCTGTTGTCAGTGCAAGGATATTTAGCCCTTTGGGGTCAGTCAGCTGCCCTGAAGGGCTCTAAATCTATACCCTATACCCTACTCTAGTCTCTATTGGTGGATTATGTTATTAGTAACATCCAAGGCTATTTGTAACTAGAACCAGAGGTGATTTTATATTATTCTTCATTGTTAAAGATTTATAGAATAATGCAGTAAAGCTTCTCTGATCTTTGAATACACTTCTATATAAAAGTATTCTTGAAAAACTCCTGCTCTTCCTTGCTATTCCTAATGTTTAGGATAAGAGTCTTAAAAATCAGATCCATTTTTGCCTGCAGCACTTTAAGCTATAATTCCAATTTATTTCTTCATTAATTAATTTTAATGGGTTACTTCTTGTGAAACCTCAAAATAACAGATTATGGCCCCAGGTAAGAATAAAGAAAAGCATAAGCACATTAGATAGATTCTTAAAAAATTAGACAAAGCAGGACTATATACTTCATTAAAAAGTATAAATTTTATATACTCCTAAACCAAGTTAGCTCTGTTGCTCTGATTAGAGGTTTTATAATTATTATCTATCTAGCAACATGAACTTAACCTTCAGAATTCTTAATATTTTAATTATATAATCCTCACTCCCATCTGATAAACATATTGATACTTAAAATAATTATAAAAGACTATTATTATTATTAAGTTATTCCTAGTTAAAGATATGGGCTGTCTAATGTATCTTAATTAAATAAATGTTTAATAATGACTTTATAAACCTCTCTAAATGCTTATATGGGTGGCTAATGACTATACACTAAGATATATATGTATATGGATAGAAAACACACAGTTGCACTAAAATTAGTAGAGTATAATATAATCCACAAGCGAGTGACGCACCCAACGCGAAACGCGTCAATTAATTAGACCCTTCCACTTCAACCACCCACTATGCCACAAATTCGCTCTCAAAGCTCTAGAAATTCAATAGAGCAGGAGGGTAGGATCTTATTAGCTAGCCAGGCTATCAAGAAGCAAGAAATATCTTCTATTTGTGAAGCAGCACGCTGTTTTGAAGTCCTAAAGTCTACTCTTTACACACGCCTTCATGGAACTACAAGTTGAGATCAAACCCGTGCCAATAGCCATAAACTGACATGAATAGAAGAGAAATCACTTTAAAATTGATCCTCTCTCTTGATGATCGCGGAGCAGCTCCTTGGCCAACCTCTGTACAAGAAATTACAATCTTCTACTTGCAGCACATGGATCTACCCCAGTTCAAACAGTTGGTGAAAAATGGGTTTATAACTTTGAAATGAAACCCAGAGCTTTCAACTGATTATCAAGAAACTATAATTACAAGCATGCAAAGTGTGAAGACTCAAAAGTCATCCAAGAGTGGTTTAATTGTGTGCAACATACAATACTTCAATATGGCATCAACCCTGATGATATCATGCAATTACAAAGCAATTCTCATAAATTAAAGCATTGCTCCGTACAAAATCAAGAAGCCCACCAAGTCCGCTTACAACCGCGATAAGTCAGATTCTTAAAGCATGCCAAATTGGCATGCAATCAGCTGCTATTCTTGAGAAAGAAGTAAGTGAATTACAGGCTGCAAATGAGAAACAGAAGCAAAAGCGTACACGGTCTAAGAGGAAGATACCCCATGAAGGTGGCCTTTTAGTTCAGGAGGCTGTTGAGCTAATTGAGGCCCCAATTGAGGCCCTGATAGCTCCAGCACCCCCCGGGTCAAGACTCAAGACAGCCTTCGCCACCTTTACAGCCACGTACGCGGCCTCCGCGGGGGTGTGGAATATGTAGGGTCCCATGACATAGAAGAGAGACATGTCCAGATAGACCTAAATAGGTAGTTCTCTTAATTTAATGGCGTTTTGGTTGAAATAAATGCATTTAAATACTATATATGGGGGGCGGGTGCGTCACTCGCTTGTGTGCGTCACTCGCTTGTGAATTACGTTAATATTATATTTATTAATAATTAAAGTTTAAATAGATAAATAACTTTAATTGACTTTAGTACAATCTAAATTGCTTTTAAAAAATTTAAATGCCATGCATTAATGGGAATTACTAGTGTTAAGAGAAAAGTGAATTTATCTAAAATATCTTGAATGGTTTCTGACTCCATATATATAACTATAAACAGCCATTTCTAAATGAGCTAAGGCCCATAAACACATAAAATCCAACTTCAGTTACTTAACATAAGCTTAAGCCATGTAAACTGTATTTTACATCTTAATATCTATTGATGATGATTATGATAATTTCCATTTTATAGAGCATTTTCCAGTCTAAGACTATGCATGCTCTACCCACCCCCAAATCCCACCCCCTTGGGGGTGGGCTTTATGTCTGATGGGGTTTATATGCATGGGATTAGCTCTGTCACAGGTCACATGGGAAGCTCTCACTCTGAGATGGGGGACATGATGGGTAATGCCTATGAGGCCCTAGCTAGGGCATAATATCTATTATTAAATGAATAGTGTAACAATTAATCTAGGTTAGAAAAAAGTTAGTAGCCTTAAGAAAACAAGGAATTAAAGAATACTTAAAACAATGCACACTGGTAAGAGTATAACTAAGTCTATTATAATTATAGATAGAAGGGAAGGAAGGCTTCCACATTCATTAAACAAGAATATATATGCTATAAACACTAACAGCACATCATATTACAGGGAGAGGAATTTAAGATTAAGGAATGCATAAAGGAGCTCTAAAAGCTAAAGCATTGGACTATTAAGATAAGTGATTTAGAAAGGGAGATGATACAGACACACCATCTAGCCATTTTTAGTAAATTATGGACCTGTCACATGACAGTCCTGTACAGTTCTCACATGTCATGATAAGATTAGGGCAAAAGATTAAGGTATCATCAAAACAAAGACATCACATCTGCCCTTCTAAGCTTTCCATAATGTGCCTGCGCGCCAGTGAGATCAATATGGCAAATACTGCCCATCAGCAGCCACTCCAGGCTGAGTATTTGAGTGATGATGAGGATCCCAGTCCCCTACCTCCATCTCCAACCAACATCATCTACTCCAGTGAGAAAGAGGCAATGGATGCCATCAATGAGTTCACGCAGCAGCATGGCTATGCCCTCACAACCAAGAGTTCCAAGCGCCATGGAAACAACAAAATCAAAGCATGCTACCATTGTGATTGCAGTGGTGCGCACAAGGATAATGTTGCTGATGATAAGCAAGTCCATGAGAAAACTACCCACTGTGAGAACTGCCCTTTTCACGCAATATTCCATTGAGACATGCAGACAGACAAGTGGTTGTTTGAGATTAAGGATCCAGCCCACAGCCATGGCCCAGCACCTGCCCATACACATCCAACACTGCATCAAGCAGAGGTCAAAAAACATGCCACAATATTTGAAAATCAGCTTTCTGCTGGCATCACTCCACGTCAGATTCCTTAGCTCTTTACATGTTAGTGTACATAGTTGATTATGATAATAATGATAAATCTCATCTCTAACCATACGGAATTTTCACGTGACGGGCCCATAATTTACTCAAAATGGTTAGATGGTGTGTCTGTATCATCTCCCTTTAGGAATCTCATACCCTTTCAACTGCAATCTAGAAATAGTAAATTAGAATATTAGTATCTTTGTTATCCACTTCTTCTCTTCCTCATGCAGGGTTAGAATCTCTTTAAAGAACATGTATGTGAGATTGCTGGCACAGATAGACAGGGCTTGCAAAGATAATGATGAGATATGAAGTCTAAATTTTCTTATTAAGCTGTCAATAGAGGGCATGGAGCTTAATAGACTGAGGAAATCAGAGACAAGGCCCAGAAAGTCATCTATATAAAAACCAGGACTCATTAGCAGAAAATTAATACTCTAAGAACTTTAAGAGTCTAAAGAGAAAATAGGTGGACTTGCAGCATTAGATTCATTAAGAGAAATCCTTGAAAGATGCAGCTAAAGAGAAGATCAGATCAATGGCTACTAACTGAGGGCTCTGATAAGTAAAGGATAGAGTATATAATAGGGGCAATGATAGTAAAGATTCAGTAATGAATTATAAAAAGATCCTAACATTTTAATATTGAATGAAAGAAGCAAAGGCAACTCCATAATTATCTAGGCCTGAGGGCAGGCCTCTTCAAAAGGGGGAGGTAACTGAAACCTCACCATACTATTCTACCTCTACGACCTCTGGTCTCACAGAACCACTATTGCTTATTTACCAATATACAAAAAGGCTTAGGCTATCGAAATTCGAGACTTGCAAATAATTGTCTTAAATACACATTGTGTCATAAAATACAGCGTAATTAATATTAACTTAATGATTAGGCTATAACATTCTGCAGAATTCAGTATATATAATATCTATAGTGTACAATTGCACCATATACAATATCATACAAAAATTTTTAAATTGATGGAGATGTGAACATTCAAAAGTTGCGCATTGATATGGGAATATAGGGTGCACTGCTCGCCCGTGTGCGCCACTCGCCCGTGGAATACGTTAAATATTACCTGCTTAGATAAGCACTAAGAGGCATAGAGAGAGAAGGCTAGATAAAATAATATTTATTAGTAGAGTTGCATTCGGCGCGGTTTGGCGCGGATGGAGGGTGCCCTCCATCCACGCCGCGTGGATTTTGGATGCTCAGGCTTGGATCCGCATCCGCGCCAAAATCCGCGTGGATTGGCGCGGATTAAGCCGCAAAAGCCGCAAGATTCCGCGCTATGCCTATTTAGGCATACACTAAACTAACTGCAGTTAAAGTCGGATTGGCGCGGATTTTGCGGCTTCGCTGTGCCACTCTATTTATTAGTCCCTATAAGATATTTTACTCCCACTAGAACCGTCTTTAGTTCTCTTTATATATAATGCTCTAACAGTCTGCCTTGCAATTCCTTAACGTAATCGACCACCGAGCTGGCCAGCTAAAACACCCATACAAAATGCCATACTTTAAGGCATCATATCTCAACATTCTTTGTAGACACAGAATGGATGATTTGAAATTATTATAAAGGTCACTAATAGATATCACCAATTTTAAGCCATTTGCTAAGCTAGTTATGATAATAACGTAATTCACGGTCGAGCCGCGGACCTCTGTATTCCATATAAAATGACACTTTTTATAACCTCATCTCAACTGCAAAGTATCTACAGAGCCTAAAACTTAGTATATAGAGTAATATGGCACTGAAATAGTATTATGGCACTGAAATTATATACACTGAGCAGAAAGCTTCAGATAAATATTTCTCCAAGTAATATAAATTACCACTGTATTTTTTCAATAATCTAGCATCTATGACTACAAAAAGCTACAAAATCTTTTAAAAAAGTAATATACCTTCTTCTAGTGTGTGTATGCATACCCTTATCTTATAAATAAGCCTCTATATCTATTGGTGACTGAGATATTGAGGTTATAAAAAGTGCCATTTTATATGGAATACAGAGGTCCGCGGCTCGACCGTGAATTACGTTATTATCATAACTAGCTTAGCAAATGGCTTAAAATTGGTGATATCTATTAGTGACCTTTATAATAATTTCAAATCATCCATTCTGTGTCTACAAAGAATGTTGAGATATGATGCCTTAAAATATGGCATTTTGTATGGGTATTTTAGCTGGCCAGCTCGGTGGTCGATTACGTTAACAAAATCAGCTTAATCAAATCCATTTTTTCAAAAAACATAATGATGGCCACAGCACCAGATGATAGGACATATTCTTTTTATAAGAGATTAGTAGTTAGGAGCTCCAGCTCTGTGATTGACTGTATTTATCATAATCCTATATTATTAATGAATATAAATCAATTATTGATGCAGTCCCTGGCACTAAATTATTGTAATATACTTTAGTGATTGATTGAGTTTAGAAATATAGTGGAAAAGTGCATTGCTGGTATAGATCATATAGTATAAAATTTGGTCACCTGACATCAACTTAGCAGGCTAATTAGAGTGGAGATAATTATATAATACATGCAGCGCCGCCCGCCAACCACTTATCTATGTTTGGTGGGCTACACTGATACAATAATACCACTGCTCTGTCTTCTAAGTTAACTGATATCTCACCCTTCTTTATTAATTATAGATATAATCCCTAGACTTCATTTAATTGGACATTCATGGAAGGATCCCCTCTGAGATGAGTGAACTACCTATTTAACTAATAACAGACCCAGGATATAGCAAGAAGAATGAAGTAAGTGTAGATCACTATTAATAATTAAATTAAATAGACTTAGGACTAGCAGAAGAAGTAAGCAGATTATCATCATCATTTCATTAAATTTAATATAGGAGATTAAGTGTGACTGTGACTCTTATAATAATACCATTAAACAGACTATCTTAATAAGAAGCTTGATAGTTAAATAACAGGACCTTTCTTGATTCTAGAATGCATTGACAATTCTTATTAGTTAGACCTCTTAGATACAATAAAGATCCATCCAGTTTTTTCATTAGATAAGCTATACCATCAATAATCTCTTGAACAGGTGATTAAGTCCCTAGAATCAATCATTATTAGAGATGAATAGAAGTGAGAAGTGGAGAAGGTTCTTATCTATATTAATAACAGCTGCAGTACCAGATGAAATGGATTAGATTTAATAAGAATCAGATATAATATCCAGCTATTTATTAACTTTAAGAGCTTATCACATTATCTATGACTATCACCAGAGGTATTTAGATAAACCAGGACCATCATGCCACTTACAAGAATGATTAAGGCATGGGAGAAAGGGATTAATGACCACTCTTATAATAATAAACTAATATAGAGTCTGGGGACAGACTCCATCTAAGAAGGAGGGTTATATGACAGCTCAATATTACATTAACAGCCCATATAGATAAATGACACCAACACATCAAACAAGGCTATATGAGCGATCAAGGCAAATAGAGCATTTAGCACTGTTATAAACACCTATAAGACCCCTTCATCTGCTAGATAGATTTCCTCTTCTCTTTTCCCCCCAGATTCAATATTCTCATTGATGGTTACACTAGTTTAGATAGGAATATCGTTTTGTCAATATCTACTAGTCTGAGCCCGTGTGTTAGGACACAAAGCCGCATGGCGGACTTATACGTCTCTTTGTCATACTTATGCATATACATAACTAATAACTACGCATGTGCAGTTACTAAGCACCCGTACTTCACGTGACCTAGACACAAAGTCTTACCTCTGCTGATGGCCGGATACCGGACCATCAGCGATTAGTACCGTGAATACTACGCATACACCCTTCATAACGCTCACTGCGCTATCCATAGACCTCTCTCACACCGTGACACATTCTGGTCCAATGGCCAGAATTTCATACATCCATAAAACCACCAATTCTTGATAAAAACACATCAAATTTGAACCATAAACTCTTCATTATCTGCGGAGCATTCCAGTTTTCAAAATGCTTGATTTCTCTCATTTCTGATGGAGTTATACCTATTTAATGTGAGAGAAGTCAGACAACGTACTAATTAAAAAGGTGCTATTTTAGGGGCCTAGATAATAGCTATATGAATGCAATCTTAATTCCAAGGAATGTGTGGGTGATAAATCACTATCCCATTGAAAATACTAGACTAATCGATGGCCGACTGAGTACAGACTACAGTCCACAGTATACAAAGTAAACTGCCTCGAGGTAGTTTTAGAATACAGGATGTGTGTACTTACTACCAACTAATCACGGTGCTAAAGGTGGGGCGGATCTGTATTCGAATGCAAAAAGTATACGGTGGCTGACTACCCCTATTATACTTAGCCATCTTATTAACCCATCTATAATTTCCTTAAAAAAAGAATATACAGCACTCCAAGAGTACATTAACAGACTTTAACTAGGAGATTGTCTGAGAAGTCTCTGATTAGACTAGGGAAGACTAATGCAGAGAGTGAAATTATAAATCTTATATATAAAATAGACCAGTGACGCATTCCCTAGCCCCAAGTCGTCGTTGCAGCGCAGTGAGCGCACTAGTTGAAATCGCATGACGAAGGGCAGATTACCTGACACCAACAAAGGCAATCAATGGGATAAGATCTTAATTTGACCAATCAGAGGCGAAATCGGGATTGCAGGTCTATCCTCATTCCTCTAGTATTTGCTCCGCTTACGCTCCGCAAATTAAGACCGCTGTACAGCGCCATGCAAATAGGATGTAGCTAATTGCTTACTGTCAATTCAAGCCACCTACCATTCTGAAATTGAGTAGGCATCGGCAAAAAGACCAATTCTTTCCGGTTCTTGAAAAGTATATAGTTAGTATCAATAGTACTATGTAAACATGCAATGAGATATCAGATAGTTTTACGCAACATTATTATTTGTCAGGAAAACACATAATGCTTAGAATTTCTACTTTTTTGTCTCTTGCTCTCCGCAATATAGTGAAGAGCCAAACGGTGTGGACTAGAGTAAAAATTTAAAAAAACTCATTGCGATCTTGATCTCCACATCAGACGTTCTCAAGAACCTGTTCCTTGAACTCCCTCTCAACCTTCTGGCCCTTGTCATCAGTCGTAGATTCCCCGTGGAGGTTCAGCAAGGCACCAAGATCAAACTTCGGGGACTTGAGGAGCTTGACCTTGCGGATGTGGACCTAAAGATATATTAATATGAGCATAATAACAAGATGAACACTGAATAACGTACGTTTTGCAAGGGATAGATTCCCTGGGTCGCCTTTTCAATCTCACGCCCAATGACCTCAGGGATGAGCTTCGTTGTGAGCTGAGAGAGCGAACAGCCAACCGCCTCACGTTGCATGATGTCGGTCATCTTCTTTCGGATGGCGCGGATCTGCGAAGATCGGGCATATGTGGTCTTCTTGATTTGGTTTGGACGTCTCTTCGTAAACGCGATGGCGAACAGACGGACAAGGTATTCATCGGTAGTCTTAACAGTGACGTTCGCCTCGATGAGAGTCTGCCACTTGCGCACAAGCGACCGCAGTTTGTCGGTGGTGAAGTCCATGCCATGGAAGTTGGTCAGACAGTTTTTTCCTTGAACCTCATCCACGCGAAGCTTAACCTTGCGGAAAGCGTGGTCTTCGTCGTTCTGGAGATCAGCGAGCGACACTTCGAAAATCCGGCCCTTCAGAGAATCATTGGCGTTCTTCAGACCGGTCGTACGGTTGACGAGGGTCTTGCCCACGCTACAATTCGTCATTTATTAGCCTAGTTCGGGTTGGATCAACTCCAGTACGAGGAAGTTAAAACGTACTCGCGAGTCTGGAAAGTGGAAGGCGCCTGCTCTTTATTAATAAATGATTGCCTTCTGTTCCATGAAGAAAACCCATACCTTAACAGAATATTCATCCTTACGGGTGAAAGGGTCAACGGTCCTCTTCTTGATGCCCTTCTTGCCCTTGGACAAGCGCTTGTTCCTGCATAATGTCAATACTTGCAACACCCCTGTGATCCGATGTATGCGCTCGACACCGTAGGATCACAAACCATCGACGTTTGGAACTTACTTTCCAACAGCCATGACTGCGACTACGGTCTATCTTGCAATGCTTGAAGACAGACAGCTTTTAGCGCACGTTTCGAGTCGAGTAAAGTTCCTGCTGGACCGACAGGTAGAGTGCTGGAAACTAAATCCCACAGAAAATTTCGGCTAAGCGAATGTTGGCCCTACCTCTTTCTTACATAATCCATCTTACTTTTCAGTAGATCACGTGAGAATTTACCGCCCTCGCTTAGGCCCACCGCTGACCGGTAGATAGGTTCGCCGACCAATCCAGATTTGTGTACACAGAGTATGGAGTGTGGAGCATCACTTTGAGAGCCCTACTCTCGGAGTATATACATACATACATACTACGACTTTATTATTATTATTGTGAAAGATAAATATATCAAGAACTACAATACGTTCTACACGAATGCTTTCTATAAAAAATCATTTGGTCCACTATTACGCAATAAACCATCTCAATAATATATGCACCACACAATAACATTCTCTGCACTGAACATACCATGTACTTGTACGGAGTACTCTGTAAGAGTAGTATGACTTTGATAAGGCATATGTCTCCACTTCTGTTGTCTCTTATGATGAAGTGGGTATTGAGTGCATTAACATCATAGTATTACTATGTACTACTGTACTCCGTACTACGGAGTATGTATGTACTTCAATAATAATGAAGCCAAATTATTTCAATGGATACCAGACAAAATGATGTATTTGAAGAAAAGTTATTTTCGTTTGCCCCCAGGGCCAAATCACAGAGAAATAACATTCGAAGCAATATTAAAGGAATATTTAGTACTAGTGTAAATTTCATAGTTCATGTTCATAGGGTCCACCTACTCCCAAGCTTACTTAATCTCATACCTTTCCGTACACCTTCCTGCCTCTACGGAAGAGTCCAATCATTACCTACGTCAATTCTTCATCCATAATCGAAACCATGGTATGTCCCTTCAAAATCCGTAAGCCTGAACCATCCTTATAGATTATTTTTATTACAGGGCAAGCGGAAGAAGTCGAGCAGACAACCACAGGGACCAAAAAAGGTGACTAATGTCAAATGGATCCGTAAAGAATTCTACTGATAGCGACACCAGAGAGAGCCCTTGCCTTCAACGTTTGCATGCTTGTTTTGCAATCACGAGAACTCCATTGTTGTTAAGCTTGACAAGAAATTGGGTCTAGGGAATTTGTCTTGCAAGGTGTGCGGGCAAAGATTCCAGACGGGTATCAACTGTAAGCCATGTCACCTACTTGACGGCCAGCACTGACCCTATGTACCGCAGATCTTTCCGCCGCCGTTGATGTATATTCTGACTGGGTGGATGCTTGTGACGCCGTGGCCAAAGACGCTGCTAACAAGTATGAAGAACGTGACGCTCGTGGCATGCGTTTGAATGAGTATCCCGTTTCCTACGAGTCACGGGAGACTGGAGCAATGATTGGCGAGAGTAGGAAAAATGACGCCGATGATTTCTGATGTTGTGTTGATTATGGAGAATGGCGCATAGGGTGAAGATTCTGTAGCTTTTGTTTCATTTTCTGGGATACTCCTTGATCTGATTTGGTGTTATGATAGAAGTCAAGAAATAGTCTTAATAACCATGAAGAAAACTAAATCATGCCAATGAAAGAGAAAACATAAACCCATGTTTGTTAATGAATGAGCAGATCTCTACTACTAACAAACCAACGAGACCAACCCCATTGCATAGGTCAGGCTATATAGTTTAATGGTGAAAACAAAAGCCCAATGTTGGTTACAAGGTGTAGTATCGGTCACCGAAATCACCCAGACCTGGAATGATGTACCTTAAAAAAGTTAGAATCATCATAGATTTCTTTGGCAAAGAGGGGAAAAGAAGAAGACGGAGGAAGTACTTACTTCTTCTCATCCAAGCCTTGATCAATGAATGCAGTCACTACTCTAAGTTTAGGAAAACGCTCGGCAAAATCCGCAACTCCGGACGGGCTTGCAATGAGGTTGAGGAAAAGAATATGATCTTCTGGCACACCCCTCGCCTTGAGAACTTCAACAGCGAGAGTAGCGGACCCCCCTGTGACGCATTAGAATTATGAGTATTATATCGAAAGGCGAACCAACTATGTGGCATTGGAACCATACCTGTTGCAAACATTGGGTCAAGGAGCAGAACCCATCGATTAGCAATGTCAGCGGGAAGTTTGTCATAGAAAAGTTTCGGTTTGCACGTCTCTTCATCCCGCTGGATCAATATCTTCCCAATTCGAACCGATCGACAACAGTCTCTCAATCCTTGCTCCATCGCCTCCCCTGCCCTCATAATCGACACCCCACATATTTTCCCCTCAAACTTGACTCCGAGATAGGCGCGACCGACTGGAGTTGTCACAGAGTGCTCCACAACAGGCAGATGGTTTAAGCCTTCTTCTACCAGCAGCCGAATAATTCTGTTCGAATAGAAGATGAAATCCGCACGCCCAGTTCCTTTATCCCTAATCATCCTGTCATAAAGTCAACATATGTAGCAGCCAATAGCAAACAGGTAAGAAAACAAAACTATCAATCTAAATGTTAGAACTTACGTTAGAAGGGCAATCAACTGGGGAGTTTGGGGCAATACATGAACATTTTCGTATGATAAGCTCTTTGAAACTGTTGCTGTTGGTTTCTCACCCTCCGGTCTGTAAACTGGTCCTACACCTTGAGCAGGAGAAGGGACAGGCTCGAATTCAATGTCGTCCATTGTTTGATAGTAGTTTGCAGAACGGCAGAAGGATTTGACACCAGGAAAGGCTGTAAATGTGAATGTTCCCAATCAGTTAGCAAAATCAGCAGATGCTATAGGGTTACTAATACTTGCAAAATACTGTTGTAGACCTTCAAGTGATATTATTGCTCTTATCTGGGCGCTAGAAAAGATAGACAATCAGGCATCAAGTGGGGCAGTGTCTGCTCTGTACTTACATAGTACTATGTAGAACAAGAAATAGTACAGAATATTTTATAATACATACATACTGCCGTATAAAAACCATGTAGCGATATTATTCAACAGTGGTCAATTCATATTGACAGTAATTCGCATCAATGGTAATAGCTACATACGGTTGTTGTAAGTGACCTTCTACTGTCTAATATTCTGCCGGGTAACAGTCAGAGAAGTTGACCGCCTTATACACCGCCTTCACTTGGTTCTGTTTCTACATGATGGATATTATAAGTTTTATGGTTCATCTTGATGTGCAGGATTTCTGGTTTCGATACCTTAAAAGTATATCCGTGCAATGACAACAGCATATCTAAGATGGGCACTGCCTTCGCACTCTAGATCAGCAACATCAAGTGCCCAATAAATCACCATGATTTCCGGCTAACCAATGACCTCATGTGGGCAAAATTTCGTGAATTGGTAAAATTTGGCTCCAACAGAATCTATCTACGTTTCTGACCCTTATCGGCTTTGTCTTGCTTTGGACGCGATGCACGGCACGCAGCGGAGAAGCCACAAGCACAAGACTTATGGTAGATCTTCCAGGATCCTGCGGTCCACTTACGAGGAGTCAGAATTCCACACCAATTCTCACGACCGGCAAGGAATTTCGAACATATCCCCCACGTCAGATTCACCTGACCTGCAACAACCGAGGAAGATTGAAATCAGAGAGACAGAAGTTAAAACCCAACCTTCTGGCAAACCGGGCGATCCTTCGAGAAACCCATCTTTTCCAGACGAATCTACCTGCCGTTTCCGATCTTCCATAAAAGACGAACCAGGCGCTGTCAAAAGAAAGCGCCACAGGTCTTCTCGTGAAATTAGCGTCCGTAATGACGATCTCAGTGACGTGGATGCCAAGAACGAAAATACTTCCACAAAGCCTGATAATAATATCAATTTCGGGCCTAAGAACCGTCTAAATCAAAGTGAAAAGTGGGACGGAACCTATGCGGCCCCGGATTTCTCACTACAGTCTCAATCAGATATGAAAAGCGGTAATGGAGAAATACACCCTCGGAAGAAGCTAGTGGATTTGCTGGATTCGGTCCACCCACCAGCTGAATGGCCGTCTGCATCTTTTACCAGTGACAGTGGATCGAACAGTATCGCATGTACTTCGCAGTCTACTCTCACCAGGACGCGTGACATTATGCCCCAACGCGTTGAGGATTCTGCTACTGTACCGGGCTTGCGAGGTCCCCCGGTTACATATGCACGCCAACGATCTTTTCTAAATGAAGTATATGTGTCAAGTGGTTTTGGAGATAAAGATGCAAATACCAATTCGAAGAACCAACAGCTTGAGTCTAAAAAAACCTCGTGCTTCGATCTGGATGCCGATGATGACACTGGTGCTGGCTCCGGGCCAATTCGAAGTATTCACGAGCTAAGACAAGCGGGTGATAATTCCCGCTTTCGAAGTGCAGTTGACTGTATGTTTGAAGATATTGCAAACAGTGATAACACGAACTCTACGCGATGCAATGGTTTTGTACAGCTCAGCTCGAAACTCTTGGACCGTCAATTTATCAATCGGTTCTCTGAATGTGGATTTGCAGAAAGGCTTGTGGAGTATGTGAAGTACGCCACGAACGACCTCGACATGATCTCTGCTTCGTTTGCACTTTGTTCCATTGAGTTGGTGTTTTCGAGTGGCGCGTTTCCCCAAACGCATTTAGCCAGCATTTGGCAAAGCCTTTTGGATCTTTCCCTAAGGTTGATTGATGTGGAAGATGACATCCTGCTTCTGAGCAAGACACGGGGCTATGGGGTGTCGAAAGCAGTACAAAGGTCTATACAGGAAACCGTGCCGATGTTGTCCAATCGGCTGCTACCAACGCTGAGTCCTCGCTCCCTAGCACTTCAATGTATCCGATCCGTTCTTTTGAATCTCCAACAGCACAACAACACCATTGAGGCGATGCCTACCGCAATTCTGGAACGGTTTGTTTGTTTATTGATATCGATACATCATAGTAATATGGACTCGCCACTATCACCGGATGATTGTCGAATGGTAATCACGATTTTGTCAATATTGGAAACATACACACTTCTCTTGGGTCCTTTACCTGTCAACCAACAGAGCGCACTGAAGCCACTTACACAGCTTTTCAATTTTCTTCAGCCGAAGGAATTCGATGGTTCCAATTATCACAACAGACAAATAAATTTCCATTATATTCGCCTCATATTGAATCTCACCAACAATGAACCCTCTTTTTGCAATGCTTTTGTTACGCCTGGTCTTGTCGGGGGTCTGGTCAGCATCATAACCTCAGGATTCAACATGTCGTCTGAGGGAGGCGCAGCCGAAGAAAGAAATTCGTTGAACATGGTAATACTAGCTCTTGGGACTCTAATTAATCTGACAGAGAAAAGCGATATGGCAAAATCGGTGTTTCTCACTGCGGAAGATCATTATACCTCATTTCTTCATTCGCTTGTTCAGAAGTTTTCGGCTAATATCAACCTAATCACCGCGGTATGGCAGCCCGAGACTCCCACAAAACCTCTATTTTATCATTTCTCCCCCCCCCTTCGAGTACACATAGAATATTCTTGTTATTTCTCTCCTTTGCCCCTTTAGAGTCATCTGCTGGAAAGCTGCTAATGGTAATAGAACCACCCTGTTTACGATACGCACTACAATGTCGTTGTTGGTTACTTGTCTATCCTCTTGGTTACGCTTTGTTTAAACCAGGAGGCATTTTCGCAAGTAAAGGAATTCCTTGGTGGGGAGGGCTTGGACATATTATTGTCAACTGCTGATGAGTTCCAACAATATTATGAGAAAGTCGAAGAAGATTTACGAGCACAAGGTAGTGCATATTCTAGTTTTACGGGCCAGTTACAGAGTATCATATGTCAGGTCCGTCAGTCAGAGCGCTCTTTGTGATGTCTGCTTTTACGTCATTTACAATGCATTTAGAAAGCACATCATTTTGATGTTGATTTGATTTTTCACACGTTTTTCTATTTCATTTAATTATAATTGTTACAATAATGAATTTATGATAACTATTTTGTAATTTAAAGCTAAATTAAGATAAATAATGCCAATACATACTCCATTACGGAGTACGTAGACCATTGCAACAGTTTGGTTTGTTTGCCTCCGAAGGTTACTGAAGCCTCCATACATAATACAGAAGGTCCAACTACTACAATGATTTGCCACCTTCGAATCAACCTATGATCAAGGCACATCTCAAGAATGCACATTTGTGACTAATTCTGTTAATGCTATCAACTATTCTTATCACCAACTGCTCATGCCTCTTGGACAGTGACTTTCTTTTCATGTGTGGCCTGGACACTAGTTACATTTAACTGAAGCAAAACCATATTATCTTGTTCCATCAATAAATCATTATTTTGAGGAGTGGCAAGATGCCCACCGCGCCTAAGCAACGGAAGATAGCTATTGTTGGCAGTCGATCTGTTGGTATGACATTGAACCCACCCTGAGCACATTGTTGTTCAGCTTGTTGGCCTTATCAATCTGTCTACTTATCACTGATACATTGCACCAGGTAAATCTTCTCTCACAGTTCGCTTTGTCGAGCATCATTTTGTAGAAAGCTACTACCCGACGATTGAGAACACATTCAGCCGAATCATTAAATACAATGGACAAGATTTCGCAACCGAAATCGTCGATACGGCTGGTCAAGTAAGGGAACACCTGAGAGGATTGTGATTGGGAATAAAAGCTAACTCTGCAATAGGATGAATACAGCATCCTAAATTCCAAGCACTTCATTGGAATTCACGGATACATCATTGCCTATTCAGTGGCTTCACGTCAATCTTTTGATATGGTCCGAGTCATTCGGGACAAGATACTGAATCATCTTGTGAGCACTATGCCACGACGTTCCTGGAGTCTTCCTCAAATTGCATACTGAGACATTCTTTTCAGGGAGCAGACTACGTGCCTCTCGTGATTGTCGGGAACAAAAGTGACCTTAAGCCCGAACAGCGACAGGTTTCTTTGGATGAAGGCCGGCAATTAGGGGAAGAATTCCGTTGCGCGTTTACTGAAGCTAGCGCTCGCCTTGGCTACAACGTCGACAAGACCTTCGACCTAATGGTTGGCGAGATTGAAAAATCTCAGAACCCGTCGCAACCGGCAGGCGCCAACAAATGCATTGTTATGTGACATCGATTTCAAGAGGTAAAAAGCACTATGCGGTCCGATAACAACATGGGGTATGATCTCGATGCGTTTAGACTTCATACATGACTCAAATTGAATGATAGTCTATTGCTACGAGCTAACTACACGGGTCATAGTTCATGTCTTGTCACAGATGCCTCAACCATGAAAGGACTCCCGTTGTGTTTCTGGGCTGTATTCTTTCTCCATCTTGTCTACCCTGAGCTATCGCTGGATTCACACTTTCAACTAGCCCCTTCGAGTCAGACATATTGTGAGCGTATAAACTGTTGCCAAATATAAACAACAATAGTTTGTGTAAGGGTATACCATGCTATACCGACATGAAGCTTGGTTTAATGATGCCGATGAACCTCATTAGAGACCCAGTTGGAATTCGAAAATCCTAATATACTTTTGGTGTGAGATGGCGTTGTAAAATGACTATATTGTATTTATGAGACCTAGAAGAGGAAGAAGAGGAAGAAGTGGTTATCTTATGTTTTTATTGATGTAGTCTAGCCCCTCATTTAGAGAGTCTGCGCTAACGAAGTTCCCGACTACCCCTCCATAGGTTATCTCAAATCAGCAATCCCCTTTTAGCTTTTTTCCCCTACCGCCCTCCCAACATTCAACGCAACTGGGTCACAGTGTTCTTCAGACCTCTACACCTTGCTCTTGAGCATAGTTTCTCTCTTCTCTTCTTCATTTTGCCAGTATGCTTGACATTACTGACTTCATCACCGACCGTGGTGGAAATCCAAATAAAATTAAAGAGAGCCAGCGGAAACGGTTTGCTCCGGAGAGTGCAGTAGATGAAGTTATCACTTTATATGAGGAAGCGCGCAGAGGTATTATCGGGTTAGAGGAAAGAAGAAGAGCAGGGTATGCTGACATTTCTCTCATCCAGCACGATATGAGGTGGGGCAAATCGGCTCCCAAGTCAATGCTATCCTCAAAGAGATCGGGAAAAAAAAGAAGGTTAGGAAGACGTCGCCTTTTCCTATTCACCTTAAGCGATGGGGAAACAGGCTAATTGGGTCGGTTGGAGTAGAACAAGGAAGATGCGAACGATCTGATTGAGCAAAAGGCCAACTTGGAGAAGTCCAAGAAAGAGGCGGAGGAACTTGCTGTTGGAAAAGAAAGCCAGAGAGACCGGAAAATCCGGACTATTGGAAACTACGTTCACGAATCTGTTCCTGTGAGCAACAACGAGGTGTGTCCCCAGTGTACATTTCAGGATTACGCGATCCTCGTGCTAAAATATGACTGTTAGGATGACAACGTTGTGGCCAAGAAGTGGTCACCTGAAGATGTGGCCGTAGAGAAGCGTGATTGTCTCTCTCATCATGAAGTTCTCACCCGCTTAGATGGGTACGACCCAGACCGCGGTGTCAAAATTGTTGGCCATCGTGGCTATTGCTTGACCGGCTATGGCCTCTTTCTGAACCTCGCCCTCATAAACTACGGCCTTGAATTTCTTTGGTCAAAGGGTTACAAGCCTAACCAGCCGCCTCAATTTATGCTTAGGGACCTAATGGCGAAAACTGCCCAGTTAGAGCAATTTGACGAGGAGCTATACAAGGTCACCGAGAGCGAGGACAAATCAACCGACAAATATCTCATTGCCACTTCTGAACAGCCGTTGTCGGCATTACATGATGGAGAGTGGCTTCAGGATAAAGATCTTCCGATTAAGTGAGTTAGACTGGAATCATGCGAGTTTATGAGTTAACATTTTGCAGGTATGCTGGCTACAGTACATGCTACCGGAAAGAAGCAGGTTCTCATGGCAAAGACGCCTGGGGAATTTTCCGTGTCCATCAATTTGAGAAGGTGAGAGATTAACCTGCTGTTTTCTCTATTGCAACCAAGATTCTCACCTAGCCTAGATTGAGCAATTCGTTTTGACCAAACCCGAGAATTCATGGGAAGCTTTCGACGAGATGACGGCTATCTCGGAACAGTTTTACCAATCCTTGGGTCTCCCTTACCAAATTGTCTCCATAGTATCGGGTGCTCTCAACAATGCGGCATCCAAGAAATATGATCTGGAGGCTTGGTTTCCTTTCCAAGGCGAGTATAAGGAACTGGTTTCGTGCTCCAATTGCACCGATTACCAAGCAAGAGCTCTGGAGATTCGCCATGGCACTAAGAAAGCTACCGATGTGAAAAAGTCCTATGTGCATGCTCTCAACGCTACGTTATGTGCCACCGAGCGTACGCTTTGCTGTATCCTCGAGAACTATCAGAAAGAGGACGTATGTATAAAGCCAGAATATATTCCCTGAAACAATGCTGACAAGAGATTAGGGTTTTGTGGTCCCAGAGCCTTTGAGAAAATATATTCCCGGAGCCCCCGAATTTCTACCTTTCACTAAAGAGCTTCCCAAGGATACTACTTCACAAAAGGCCAAGGGGAAGCAGGCATCCAAAGCTCCAGGCAGCGCAGAGCAGACCACGAAGAAAATGCAAAATCTTCAGGTGTAAGCGCTCTATGTGAATCGATTTCTGTGTGCATGGTTTGGTGATTTGGGCGGTCGTTGTCACAGCATGTACATATTCCTATCTTTTCTGCTTTGTCAAAAAAAAGAAAAAAGAAAAAAGAAAAAAGAAAATGTACAATCTACTCGAAGTCGACTGGTAAAGTACTCCGTATGTACGGAGTAGTTGGCAATTTTCCTTAAAGTTGACACCGCCTGCACAGTAGTAGTATTTGCCCCTTCGAGGGGCTTCAAAAAAAAAAAAAAAACACTAACGCTTCCGGACCCCACTAACCAGATCCCGATGAGTCACTAGTATATGTATGGTACGTACATACTTAGTCCGATTTCGGGAGCGAATCTTGGTATATTGCGAAATTCGACGCCCTTGAACATCCAGTTTTCTCATCTTTCTTTCCACGCTCCATTCAGCTTCATACAGAGGAGCAACGACGAGTTGGCCATGGCAGCCCAAGACGAATTGGATCTCAATGCTTCACAGAACGTGAACATGTCTAACTCTCCATCGACCTCATTCCAAACTCCGCCGTCTAGTCATGGGGCGTCTGCCTTACCAGCCCGCACAATCATCCCCCTGGCCAACGCAAAACACTTGAAACCATTTGCCACAGAAGACATCAAGGTCTTACTTTTGGAAAATGTCAATCAGACCGGGCGAGACATTCTTACCAAGCAAGGATATCAAGTAGAGGTTCTCAAGTCATCGCTCCCAGAGGATCAGCTCATTGAGAAAATTCGGTGCGACTCCTTTCCTCATCTCAAACTATATTCACCATCCATGACGGTAGCAGGATATAAAACTGACATTGTGTTTCTAACAAGTGATGTACATGTAATCGGCATTCGGTCAAAGACAAAGCTCACGGCTCGTGTGCTAAAGGAAGCCCGTAATCTCATTGTCGTGGGATGCTTCTGTATTGGTACAAACCAGGTCGACCTTCAGTACGCAGCGGAACATGGAATTGCTGTTTTCAATTCTCCGTTCAGCAATTCTCGCAGCGTTGCAGAATTGGTTATAGCGGAGATCATTGCTCTCGCTCGACAGCTTGGCGATCGTTCCAACGAGATGCACAGTGGTACCTGGAATAAAGTCAGTAACAAATGCTGGGAGATCCGGGGGAAAACTCTAGGTAAGCCTTCGACAAGCTTTTTTATAGTGAGATATGACTTACACAGGAAGGAATAATTGGTTACGGTCACATCGGCGCCCAGTTATCAGTCCTGGCAGAGGCAATGGGCATGTCCGTTGTCTTCTATGATGTTGTGAACCTGATGGCATTGGGTACCGCTCGCCAGGTGCCGACGTTGGATGCTCTTCTCGCCGAGTCAGACTTTGTGACATGCCATGTACCTGAGCTTCCTGAGACGAAGAATATGATTGGGCCGCAACAATTTGAGCAGATGAAGAATGGGAGCTATCTTATCAACGCCAGCCGGGGTACTGTTGTTGATATCCCCGCATTGATCCATGCCATGCGTTCTGGAAAAGTCGCCGGTGCTGCTCTCGACGTCTATCCAAACGAACCTGCTGGAAATGGTGATTATTTCAACAATGAGCTCAATACCTGGGCAGCAGACCTACGGTCCCTCAAGAATTTGATTTTGACCCCTCATATTGGAGGAAGCACCGAGGAAGCACAAAGTGCGATTGGTATCGAAGTTGGACAGGCTTTGGTACGTTATGTCAACGAGGGAACAACTTTGGGCGCTGTCAATGTGCCAGAAGTGGCTCTCCGGTCGCTCACCATGGATGAGCCTAACCATGCCCGAGTAAGTAGAGTTCCCCACCCGTGTTCTACCTCGGCTAATAATTGTATAGGTGATCTATATCCATCACAACATTCCAGGAGTTCTGCGAACAGGTACGTTCTTGTGAGTGGTTCTAAAACCCGGACTTGGCTAACACCATTTTCACAGTGAACGAAGTCCTTGGCGACCATAATGTCGATAAACAAATGACTGATAGCAGAGGTGATGTATGCATTCTTTGCTCAATTTTTTAGATGAACTCGGTGGATAACCCATTAATTTTAGGTGGCCTATCTGATGGCTGATATAAGTAGCGTCGACGCCACCACGATCAAGGATCTCTATGAGCGTCTTGAAGGCCTCTCATGTATGGGTGTCCCTGTTTGTCGTGTTTGTACAAATACATGCTAACCTTTGACCCTCTAGCTCGAATTATGACGAGAATCTTGTATTGAGCTTGCAGTGGAAGCATTTATTGCAGCTATATGCCATCCGCTCAGTGCCTAATGGTACCTGGCAGTCTGTTTCTTGCAAGCAGTCATACCAGTTCAGTTCTTCCATTTCTTCTATGTGTTCTTATTAATTCAACAAGGTTATGCATTGGATGGGAAAGGGGGCAAAAGCAAATTGGATGGTTGATGCCAATTAGAGATCCCTCAACGGAATAGAGGCTGTATTTGCATTTTGTATGAAAGCAATGAATGCCAACTGAAAACCAGAAATAAAAATCCTCGTACCTATGCTCTTACTAAAGAAGAAAGAAGAGCGAGAGCAATGAAAGATCTGAATCCTTATATGCTTTTTCGTCTTAAAGTACGGCTGTAAGAACGATCGTATTTAATTGCATACACAGGAGTTCAGGTGACGAGATGAAAACCTTCTTTTCGTTTTCCTAATACCGACGGTACAGCCCTCTATCTATGGCTCTGTCCCCTTTCCTCGAGGCAGGACTTCGGCTTCGTCTCCTTGAATTGTAATCCCGGTAATTATCTCTATCTCTCCTGTTTGCTTGTTCGGATCTGGAATGGCGATAATCAGTACTAGGGCTCGAACTATCGCCATCCTTTTTCCGTACCCGATCACCTATGCCACTATAGCTGGGGACATAAGAGTCCACACTTGTCTCCGGTCGACCACCGAATCGATTCTGATGCATTCTATCCTTTCCGGTTCTGTTGAATTGATTCCCGACCCATGTTTGGTGGGTGGGTAATGGTGGTTTGGGCGGTAAACCGCCGTCTCTCTGCGGTATTTGGAAGGGTTGATTTATGCTCTCAGTACCTTGCCTCGCTCGTGCCAAATGAACCTCGTTGCCTCTATTATCATTTGTGCGCCGAAAATGGTTGTCATGGCTTCCGGTTGGATTCGACTTGCTAGCGCGTGCAGCACCAGGGATACGGCTATTTCTGCTTTCCATGCCTGTTCTAGCTCCGGAGTTTGTCCACCCTCCACTTGGAGCCATACCAATGGACCCCCCTGGCGGAGCGGGAGGCATTACCGCTCGTTGCCCACGATTTTTTTTCCTATCAAATTCGTGAGAGTCTTCAAAACACGGCAGCTCGCCAGGACGTGCTGGAAGCGGGTCGCTGAAGAAGTAAGGATGTTTCAGTGCGTCAATGGCACTTATCCTTTTTCGCCAATCCAGTTTGAGTAGCTCACTGAGCAGTGATAAGGCAGTAGGGCTTAGACTATCGCGACATTAGCTAATCTCCATTTGTACCGGTTTTTTTTTTTTTTTTTTTTTTCAATTTATGAAAAGGATGGGCTGGAATGAACATACTCTTTAAACACTTGATGCAAATTTCCTGATTTGAATCCGAAACTCTTGACACCTTCACAACCTGGAAGTGAACTCCATCCGGGCATATTCTCCTCAGAAGGTGTGCCCACCAGGTTGAATATAAGTTGTGCTTGGTTAAGATCACTATTTCCAGCAAGAATGGGTTTCCCCCTAAACATTTCACCAAAGACGCACCTGTGCTTGTTAGAGGAGAGGCCATTGAATGTGGATTGGTAAACCTACCCAGCACCCCACATATCAATAGCAGTTGTGTAACGGCGAAGTTGGAGGAGAAGCTCTGGAGGACGATACCACCTAGTGACGACGAGAGTTGTATAGTCTCTTCTTGCCTCTCCACCACCCTTACCAGACTGAGGCGGTAGTTCATCATATGGACGTGCAAGCCCAAAATCAGCAATTTGAAGGATACCTCTGTTACTAATAAGTAAGTTTGCAGCTATTCGGCTGTCAGCCAATAACATTCATATACAAATGCGTTTCACCATACCTTTCATATCACGATGCAAGATACGACTCTGCAATACGTCAGACGAGCCCCTCACGAGCAAGGTTGAAGAAGAAGAATACCTCATGTAGATATTTAAGCCCTTCGAGGAGCTGTAGCATATAACATTTGACTTGTGGCTCGGTAAAATGCACGGCTGGGTTTTCCAGAAGTCCCGAGAGATCATGCTCCATATACGGAGTGACCATATACATGCTTGGCTTCTTTCGTCCTTCTCCTTGGACAGTTTCAGCGAGACTGTGGGAAGGGGGGAGAAGAAGAAGAAACATAAACACACCTTTGCTTCGCTCTACAGCCATCTCTCTGAGCTGGAGAATATTGGGATGTGAGAGCATTTTGAGCAATTTGATTTCACGCAGCGCCGTTATTGGAAACTTGAAACACCGGTTAATAAAGTGCCATGCCGGGGATAAAGTAGAGAAGGAGAAGGAGTACACAGGGTGACTCTTACACCATCCTTTTCATTATGCATAAGGATCTTTTTCAGGGCAACAACAGAAGCCTCCCTTTTGGATCTTGCCTTGTAGACCTCACTGTGAGAGTTTCAGTATATTCCTTTTGCATTCCTTCGCCGGCACCTACCCAAAAGTACCTTCTCCAAGCTTTCCCAAAAGTTCGAAGTCACGGATACTCGAACTTCCATTAAATCGGACGCTACCGTTTTGGTTTCTCTCAAGGGATGGTGCAGCCATTTTCTCCCTTAACCTCTTTTTCGCCCCGGTGATCCTTAAAAGTATACGACGATCTCCCTCAGGTTTCGAGAAGTACAAGGATCGAGTGACGCTAGGTATTTGTATGGAGGTATGAAGCTGCGGATTTGTCGTCAACCACAGCAATTAATCCGAAGCCCTCCTCGAAGCGAACTCAGTACGTATGACAGTCGCAATACTCGTGGTGGAAAGAAATCCGGCAAGTAGGCCCCTAAGTAATCAGCGCAAGCTGCGTGGCGCTGCGTGTTGTGATTCCAGAAAACCTTTGGGGATGGGAAGCATGCCAAAAATCCATGAATAATTCGAGTTGAGTGATTAATTCATATTTTGCTGTATTCTGGAATTATAACGTTTGATCTTTTGCAACCTATTCAATGATGTTCCTCGGAGTCACATGATCAGACAGAGGGTTCCGATTCCGCCAACCTTTTGCAACCGACAATTTGATAACGAACTTGCATTCTGGAATTTACAATAATCAGAAGCCACAAAACTCAATCGGTACGTACTCTTAGGGGCACCCTTGAAGATGAACTTGTTTGCTAAATAGAACATCAGATATGGCTGCAAACCACCCGATCCACATCCATCCGGCACGGCCGCTCTATCGCTTTACAGCAACTGCTCTGGGTGCCAGCATGTGGTTCTTTGTACGACTCCCAGTCGAGTATCTCTGCTGGAGACTTTGCTGATTCAGAATTTCTTCCGACGTACAGCTAATGTATCGAGCCAAGAAGGATGGTTCTGCTTTGTTGGGCTTGAAGCATCCCTGGGACCACTGAAATGCAATTCACATTGCGTTCCTCTCGCTCCATGATTCCTTAATCAGCAAGAATTGAAGGCATATTATTCTAGTTAGCCTGTCTATAACTCAATGGGCATCTATGGTTTCATGGGGCTTCATGCTCTATATCCAACTGGTTATTTTATCTACTTCGAGACTGCGGATGACCACGAGAACATCAATAATTTGGCAGAGAGCACATATCTGTGTAGACGAATTGCTATTTGTATTCAATTCAGTTGTTGTGTCAATACCGTTCCATATCAAAGGTAGGTTCATTTGACATAAACCGTTTTCATATCAACATATCTTCGAGGAGCACTTTATATTGACGGCGCCGTTTGTGGTGTCCTGGTCGCAGCAGCATATACACCTTTCCCAAAACGCGGGCAAGGCGAGGGAAAAGCTGTCTTTCTGCTGTCCAGGACAGTAAAAAGCTCCCAATTGCCAAAGCAAGTAACCATGTCTTAAAGTTGCCCGACAAAAATGTCAGTTGCATGACCCGAACGACCAATTTTGGCGGCCCCCAGAGCATACTGCTCGAAAGACACATATCCACAAGTATCGTAAAAAGGAATGGTGCTAGCACTTGTTAGCGAAAGTCAGACACGAATATTGATGTTACTACCAACCGTTTGAACTCATTGGTTCTCGAAAAGGTGGCCCGACACTGAGGACCACACTTATCAAGACATATTGGAAACACGAAAACAAGAATAATGCAGTGTTTTCGGAGTTTTCAATATTGCTCTTCTCTAAGTCCAGACGAGGGGGTTCGAACCTGTGATAAGAATTAGACCGCATATCCTAACGTTAAAGAGGTTTGTACCAACCATGGTTGTAATTTGACTATTTTATAGATTGTAAACTGAGCCAAGACGCATATCATGATTTGTCCGAGTAACGGTGTCAAGACCTTTCGTGAAACGAGGTCCGCAGTTGGCCGCTTTCTAGACAACCCAGAAGCAGGACCTGTCCAGCCCACTTTTGGAGACATGTCAATTAATAAACTGCGCTAGGGCATAGTAGGTGCTGAACTTACTGAATATCGCAATAGGCAATATAAGAGCCAAATCAATGAAAAGAAACTGAGAATGTCAGAAGCTGGACTATGTATATTTCCCTGACGTACGCACCTGAAAGTCACCAAGGTTTGATGCCGATGTGTACAAGAAACTGACAGAAGAAAATTGAATCGCTGAATAGAGACTCATGTATTTGAAGCAGCAAAAACTGGTAACCAAAGCAGCTCGACCCTCCCTGCACAGTATTAGCCATAGATATTGACGGGGATAGACTTGTAGAAGTACTTAATCAATGCTGGAACACAGGAGATTTCAAAATGACGGCTTGTGAATGGTGCAGCTACAGATGCTTCAGCATCAGACAAAGAGATACCAACATCTGCAGCTTTCAATGCACCACAGTCATTTGCACCATCACCACAGAAACCACAACAGTAATCAAGTGACTGAAGCTTTTCTACAAGCTCATGTTTCTCATCAGGTGACATGCGAGCAAACACTTTTCCACGTACAAGTACCTGTAACCCACATTAGAAAGTGCGATGTCGAGACTAATTCATCATTGCATACCCTTTTGAGCACTAACTCATTGCCAAAGTCCACCAGCCATCGGAATACATCTCCACTGACTGCAAGCGAATATTTATGCAAGTTGCAGACATTACCAGGTACAGATAGATCAACAACCGTTGGATCTTGCAGGGGCTTGTTCCAGCTGTTAGTCGATGGCCTTCAAGGGCAGCTAGGAGACATACCATAAGTGTATTCCCATCAAGTTTATGGGCCGAATCGTCGACATTCTCCCAAGAGAGACAAGCTCCCGGGTCATTGTAATGACCTGTTTATCGGGAAGTTAGAATGTACGAAATCAATGAGTGCTGTGACCAACCTTCTGCGAAATGTGGTATAAAACATGGTTCATCTGGACCGATCAAGCCACACTCGCGAGCAACTGAGACTGCAGTCAAGATATTGTCCCCTGTACACATGATATTCCGTATCCCTGCTTGATTCAGTTCTGTGATCACATCGGTAGTTTCTGGTTTCAATTTATTCTCAAATATGATGAAACCAGTAAATTTCAGATCACATTCTGCATCTGCACGTGTCATCTTCTGAACTTTCATCCAGCTGAGTTTCTGTTCATATTTGGCAGCGCAGGCAATGACACGATACCCCTTGTGGGTGTATTGACTTAAGAGATCTTCATAATCAACCGGTACTGCAGCTTCGGTCAGTAACATTATATTTTTACTGGGCCCACTTCCACTGACAGCTTTCAGGGCGGCAAATAGCTTTGATGCTTTCAGGGGCGCCTTTCACATAGAAGCTTGCACCAGCATCACCGAATTGCCTGACTATTACACTTGCGCGGCGAAGTTGCGGAAGAAATTCAAAATTCCGCAATACTCCAAGCTCTATTGATGGCTGAAGATTGAAGCCACTGTTAGCTCTCAAGATTTAGGTACAACGCAGACTTGGTATGGGGGATACAAAGAGAGTAACTCACATCTAAGGTTCCTATTTCAGGGTTAGTGATATGGGCTGCTGGAACAGGTGGCTTTGCTATAGACGGCATAATAGTGTCGTATTTAGAACCTGGCTGCTCAGACACACGACTGCCGCCTTCTTCATATGACCACCCAGTGAATTGAAACATTTTCACGTCAAGAGGATCGCCCAGCAATTCATCGTCCACAACGCGCAAGGAATGGCACGTGGCCATGGTGTAAATTATACTTTGGCGCTTCTCGGGGTCTTGGGAATTATCGGCGGATGTCAAGAATGTAAGACACCCAGGCATTGGCTCAGATAAAAGTTCTGACAATCTGAGCACCGTACGTTAGCACGTACTTGTATTGATATTCCAATGAAATCAAACCTCATGTCACGATTCACAGTCCGCACTCCTAATACATCCAATCCGTCCTCGGTAAGTGTTCCCGTTTTATCAAAACAGATGGCATCCAACTTGCCCCCCACATTTACCCTGAACACGTTTTAGCGCAGATAAACTAGATCAAAACATGTTATTGCCTTACCTTTGCGGACTGATGCAAAAGATTTTATGCTTTTTAAGTCTTGAAAGGGCAAAATTTGTGCCTATGGTCAGCGTAGCTGGTAGAGCTGGTGGCACAACAATTGTGATCAAATCGAGAGCCCTGACGATTATCAAATGCCAGGATAGCTTTCGCGTTAACGGTCAGCTAAATGAGCAAGCGATATCGGTTATATTGACCTTACCCCGAGTCTAAGGAAGTTGGCAAACGACGCTGCGAAGCCCAAAACTGCGATGAAAGCCATCACAGATATATACCGAAAGGAGTCTCTGTAGAACCTGAAACCCGATGGCTTTGGAAAGAGCATGGAGCGGACTAGCGCGCCTTTAGTTGTTAGGAAACCAGTTCTTACTACAATCGCCAGTGCAATGCCTTCATCATCCTCGACATTTTGCGGCCGACGGGCCCGAATAACCTTGGTTCCACTAAAAAGGAAATGCTTTGCAACATCAGGGTGAACCGATGGAGCGCTTAGATCAAGATAGTTGAGCGCATCATCTGTCAAAGGAGACTTTGATACAGGAACAGATTCACCTTGCATTTGGTCAGAACCCTATATTATCGACACAATAAATGGTACCACAAACCAGTGAGCATGCTTTCATTCACAATGCAGTCTCCAGATAACAGAAGACAGTCACAAGGGACTTCATTCAAGGATGGGTCGGAAAACTCGAAAACATCCCCAGGAACTAGCTCTTGAGATGGGACAGATCTCCCTAGGCCATGTGTTAAAAAAAAAAGAAAGAGAGAGACAGGAAGGGGGGCACAACTCACAAAACCCATTTCTTAATACACGCACATCGCATTCAAAAAGTGACATCTCTCTGAGCCGGCGCATTGTCTGTGTCTTCTATGAGCAACCACGATGGACGCAGCTTCTTGCAATCTAGAATATGCATACTGATTTTGTTTCAATCACTGTCGCACTGATGCTGAAGGCCGATATGAGGAATATACAAACAGCATAGTAGTAATATTCGTCTAGCGACCAAAGAATAAGACTGGCGACCTGAAATATATAAAACGGATGAAAAGCCTTATTTATTTGTGAGAACCAATCCATAGGGGAGGGGGGTTCTAAAAACAAAGCACTTACTTCATCAATCAAGAGCTGAGGCACTGACTTTTGCTTGATATCCACAATGTTGGGGCCAAATATTTGCTCCCGATTGTCGCGATCATCAGCGTCTAACCCGCTTCGCATCATTCTCACGTTTTCCCATGTTTGATCCTTCCAGCCATTGAGCAAGCAAAATTTGTCCTCTAGCGGGTGGTAGAAAAATCGGAGATATCTGTAGTCGATGTATCGTAAAGAAGAAATAGCCGGGTCGTTTTCTTCGTCATACAAATAGCATTGGGTGTCAGCAAAGACAGTAGAAATAGGACGACCGTACAGTTGACTGGAAACACCGTAAGTTGCAAACTGATTCCACTGGTCCTGCGCATGATCAGCCAAAGGGTAGACCAGGTTATTTGCATGTGTAAACTCACCTCAACTGCAATCCAGTGGCATTTGCGAAGTGGTGTTGGTTTGCCAACCAACCGTACTCTCAGCCTCGGTAGCCATCGAAATAGCAGATAGGCGAATCCAAAAGTGAGAATGCAGAAAGTCACATAAACTATAAAGCCACAAATGCTAGTAGTGAATCCAGCGAAAACAACGGTTAGGTCCTCTGACGCGATATATATCTTCTGGTTAAGCCTGGAATCAGACGTTTTATCTCGGAAATGTGAGCTATTAGAAACGCGTCGCGAAAGGAGAGGATCCTCAACTGAGGCCCTGGAAAAGGAGGGTCTTTTGGACCCGAGCGAGGATCTGGCTGGCTCTAAGTTCGCTTCATCAACACTATCCACAGATGATAAGTCCTCAACGTCGCTTTCGGCATCCAATGCCTCTGCGTTCGGCCATTGTACGAAATCTTCTTCTTGAAAATAGGTAAAGCTGACTGTAGAATCTTTTCGATTTCGACGATGAGAGAAAGATGCGATACTTGATGGAATGCTCTCGGAAATTGGCCCATCGAAAACCTATAGTATAGCAAGGTTTAATTATATATCTTCACCAAGAATTAATGTAGAGTTGATCAACGAACCTCATTGCGAGCCATTTCTACGTCTGAAACAAGGCTAACGTAGCGTTAGCTGAGCCCTTCATTCAGTGCGATTGGTTTGTTTCTATTAACCTGCTTCTCATAGAATCACGCCGGTAGTCAACCTTGAATGCTGAGGTCCCGGCAGAATCGTTTCCTGTCGGCCATGGTTCATTATCATCCATCGCGCTGCACCTCGAAATATGTAGACCTAATGGGATGTTTGAAGTGGTTGGCTATGAGTAATACCAATATAGGATTGGTTAGTGAATAGGCGGTTGTCTTGACGAAGAATATACAGAAGTTCATGAAAGGTAGGTAGAGTTACATGCGGGTAAAATGCGCGTAGATCTACGGAATAGAGCTTATCGCTTGAGTTCTGGCTAAAGTCACATGATTTAATTGCCTGTAATATCTGAACAACTACGAAGTACTTCGTACTCCGTACTTACTGTGAACTCTGCTTTTTCTTGAATGATGAGTAGAATAAAATGATAATAAATTACCAACATTACAGTACTTTCAACCTATGTATTTTTTATTTATTTTCAAACGACATTGCCCATGAGTAAGTAGTACTTCCCCCCGCAATTATATAACTACTACAAATCTCACTAAATAAAATGTAAAAGAAAAAGATTTACTGCAGGTATGTGATAAGTACTACTGTCTGTTTTATCGGGATGTGTATGAGTGTATTCTATTTATTATTGTTGGGAGCGTGTTGCCGTCCAAAAAGGTTCTCAACAGCCAGCGCCCTCGTCCCGCCAAGCCCCTCGGCCCAAGGGCGCTAAAGGATCCCACCAAGTATTCCAGACCTCCAAAACTACTCAGGCGTATCAAATTCTTCTCATCATCTCCTTCTCCTCGCAACAGCCCCTCGACCCCATCCTTTTCTGCTTCTTTTCTGTTGGTCCATCCACCGCTATGTCTGAACCCATCAGAAACAAGAAGGCAGACTTTCCAGTCGCCCCGTAAGTACTACTATGCGCTTCTCTTCATTTTTTCTCCCCGGCACTTGACTGACCGTCTTGTCTCATCAACAGTACGCCTCAAAACACACCTGCAAACAACGCCCCTATCTCTTCTCATGCCCAACAGCCTGGAGTCGCTAGCATCAAAGAAGGTAAGAAAAAAAGAAGAAGAAAATTTCCCTTGAGGTTTTACTCTACGTCCTCTTTCCTCATCCCCGATCCCCTCCCCGCTTCTTTTTTTCATTCCTGACCAAGTCGCTTTAGAATCCCTTGACCATGCTACGGCTGCTTCTCTCTTCGCAAGAAATCCTGGACTCGTATCCATGATCCAAGGAAAGCTTGGTTCTCTTGTTGGACGTTCATCTGGCTATATCGAGTCGCTTCCTGTATCTGTCCGTCGACGCGTGGCTGGCCTTAAGGGTGTCCAAAAAGAGCACGCGAAGCTGGAGGCTCAGTTCCAGGAGGAGGTCTTGGAACTTGAGAAGAAATACTTCGCCAAATTCACTCCTCTTTATCAGAGACGTGCCACAATAGTCAACGGCGCTGTGGAACCGACTGACGATGAGGTTGATGCAGGAAAAAAGGAAGAAGAGGAAGATGTAGGTGCGAAGGAAGGCGAAGAAGAGCCCAAGAAAGAAGAGGAGAAGGAGCCCGCAATGTCCGGCATTCCCGAATTTTGGCTATCTGCCATGAAGAATCAGATTTCACTCGCCGAGATGATTACCGAGCGGGATGAGGAAGCCTTGAAACATCTCGTTGACGTCCGCATGGAGTACCTCGACCGCCCAGGGTTCCGTCTTATCTTTGAATTCTCAGAAAACGAATTTTTCACGAACAAAACAATTTCGAAGACCTATTATTACAAAGAGGAGAGTGGTTACGGTGGTGATTTTATCTATGATCATGCTGAGGGATCCAGGATCGACTGGAAATCCGACAAAGATCTTACAGTTCGTGTGGAGAGCAAAAAACAGAGGAACAAAAGTAAGTTAAGGAGAATTTAGGGAATAAGAGGGTCTAGGCTAATTGCTTTCTTTACCTCAAGATACGAAGCAAACCCGTGTGGTCAAGGTTACGGTGCCCACAGAGTCGTTCTTCAATTTCTTCTCCCCCCCGCAGCCGCCAACGGATGACGATGATACTGTTGCCACTGACATCGAAGAGCGTCTTGAATTGGATTACCAACTTGGAGAGGATATCAAGGAGAAACTCATTCCCCGCGCAATCGACTGGTTTACCGGCGAAGCTCTTCAATTTGAGGAATTGGGTGATGACATGGAACCTGATGATTTTGACGACGAGGATGAAGACGACGAAGACGAGGATGAAGACGATGAAGACGATGATAGGAAATCTGACCGTGATATTGACGAGGATTCTGACGATGAAGAGGTAATTTATCCCCAAAACCACCCCCATGGTCTTCGTTCCTCAATATCAATGACTGCTAACTCGGATCAGGACGGTGCTTCCAAGCCCAAGAAGGAGGCGGCTGAGTGCAAACAAAGCTGAGCGTGTTGGTAGAAAATGCCCGGTTTAGCCATATGACTCCAACGAAGCGCGATCTATGACCGTACGTGCACAGCTCGTTGAGGTCCAGTCCCTAGTGGGGAGCTTTTCTGTTGCATATTTTTTTTTTTTTTTTTTTTTTTTTTTTTTCCCCCTCCCCCATTTTTCTTCTATTAGGTATTTCTAACTGTTCACGGTTATATTTTCATTTACCGCTGTTTCTCTTAATATTTTTTCTCTATCCATCTATCTGGTTTGGGCCTACTACATGCAGTGCATGCTTCGCTTTCGGGTTGATGGATTTATGATGGAAACTCGATGACTAGCAGGATGGAGGGAAAACTCAGCATCCTGCACTTAATTTTTCAGATGATTAGTAGTTCCCATGATGTCAGGTACAAATAGGATCACAACAATACTGGTAGTATCTTTATGAGTCGGAGTTCCATACGAGTATGTAGTCCCGTACAATAGAGTACTCCGCTTTCTACGGAGTACATACTACTGAGGTAGTTGGAAGAACATCCGGTACAGACATACTCAAACCCGACTTAGATCCAGATTCCTTAACTACTGCACAGTTATCGGCCGCACTCTCGCTCGGCATGTGAATGAAAACGGCATCTGTTGTTGCTGTCGGCATTTGACTTGACTGATTACTGTGCATCCGCGGTCGCACTTCGTCATAGGATATAATGTTTACGCGAGCAATTGAGTGCTTGAACTACCCAACTCATCTAGCTTGGCGCCGAGCTATATTAATAGAACAAACGTCTTCATGGACCTGGGATAAGCTGTGTGCGGGTAGGGGCCGAATCCATGTTGGCCTGTGGAAGAGTTGCTTTGGTGGTTTTGTTAAGGAAAGATAGTATGCATATGCTGCAATGGTCCTAGTAACAAGATGTGTCCAGAGTCTCTGATGTTAAAGGGGTTTTGTGTCCAAATTGTAGTGGGTCGAAGCCTTGTTATCTAATACATAGATATGTACAAAAGAACTCGTTGAAAGGAGGAAGAATCGTTAGTATGGCGGCGATGATTTGTGCGTGTTCTCGTGATCAGGTGACCTCGGGTCACCTGACTTGGAGGACTTCTCTGAATAGTTTCAATCGAGAACCATTTATGATTCGAGGTGCTTTTCGGGCCTAGCCCGTCACAAAATTGCCATCTCATGTCAGAGCTTTTGAGAGCAGTTAGGGCTTAGACTTGTTAAACAATCAAGAAAAAGCAAAAAAGAATGGAGAGGGCTGTATGCATACTACTGTACGGAGTAATAACATCATCTAAATTTTTACTGTACTGAAATTTATGGATATACATATAAATAACCAATCCCAAACCCTCAACTCATGGTCAACAATAAATGAGAGTGAACAGCAACAATGATGAGACATCAAGACATGGGTTCCAGATCTACAGCAAGATATCAAGGGAAATCAAATCAAAGCTCTCTCTTTTTTTTTTTTTTTTTTTTTTTAAATTAAAATCAAAACATAACCATTTCATAATACATACACTAGCAAAGAAGACGTGAAACATCAGAGTACAGAGTATCCTTTAAGGATGCTCAGCCCCAAGCCAGCTAGTACTTGTATTATATTACTCTACAGAGTACGGTATGCAGAAGGACAACCTGGCTGATTGATAGTACAATTAAGCTAACAGTACAGAGTAACTAGTACTCTGTACTCTGTAACCAGGCCCCTGATGCAAGTATCCAACCATCTCTTACCGCCTCAGGCCAAATCCCTCACCGCTTGTCTTCATGATATGTTGTTACAACTGTGTACTCTGTATTATTACATTTAAACAGCAATAATAATTACTTTATTCTCACTACAAGTAATGCTACAGAAATAATATTGTAATATATGTTGATATTATTTCCAAACCCAGACATTTGCAGCGCAGCTGTAACAATAATAGTTATTACTGATTGAGTACTGAGTATTCGATACTCCATACGATTTATTTAGCGCTTGGCAGTATTCTCAACGGTGGGGTTTTGATTCCGACAAGTGGCGCGCGGCTCCCCAGCTCTTCAGGGGTTGTGGCTCGCTAGCCAAGTAATACTACTAATGGCCAGATCTTCGCCAGTCCAATATCTCCCGCCCAAGTCTATCCAATATTGAACACATGCCAGTTTTTTGTTGTTGTGAATCACCAAAGAGCAAGTGAGCGAATGCAACATACGTGACAAAGCCGCGCCCTTCTACGACATATGAGAAACCGTTGTGCCTCTTAAATGCCGATATCAGTATAGGCTCCCCGGTTCGACTTCGTTTGAATTGAGGGTATCAGAGGTGCATATCTTCCACAATCTTGATGGCGCACAACTACGAGGTCGGGACAAGGGCCTGGCAGCCCGAGCCGACTGAAGGATGGGTTGCATCCGAAGTTAAGGAGAAGTTGGTTGATGGGGACAAAGTGCAACTGGTGTTCGAGTTAGAAAATGGAGAGGTTTGTCTCTCAAACACCATCATCGTCATAATCAATTCCAAAAACCATCACCATCGACCATCGCCTGTCATGAACTGACTATTATCCGTTTGACAAGACAAAAACAATTGAAACAACCCAAGCCGAGCTCCAGGTGGACAATAATCCAAGGTTGCCCCCGCTAATGAATCCTGCGATGCTCGAAGCTAGCGAGGATCTTACAAATCTATCCCATCTGAATGAACCGGCTGGTTTGTATGCCCGGTCCGAATATAAAGAGACAGAATGAAATTAATAGTTGTACAGTCCTCCAGGCTATAAAACTCCGCTATGCCCAAAAAGAGATATATACCTACAGTGGAATTGTACTGATCGCGACAAATCCCTTTGCTCGGGTAGACTCGCTCTACGTCCCGCAAATGGTACAGGTGTACGCGGGGAAGAATCGAGCTTCACAGGCACCGCATCTGTTCGCTATTGCGGAGGAGGCATTTGCGTAAGTACATACTCACTGCTCTTCAGAGCCACACGGACTAATATTGGAATTCTCCAGAGATATGCTTCGGGATGGGCAGAATCAGACCATCGTGGTCTCCGGTGAATCAGGTGCCGGCAAGACAGTTAGCGCTAAGTACATTATGCGTTATTTCGCGACCCGCGAGTCCTCAGATCAGCCTGGAAAATACACCACGAGCAGAGCAGACGCGATCAGTGAAACCGAAGAGCAGATATTGGCCACTAATCCAGTGATGGAGGCCTTCGGAAACGCCAAGACAACTCGCAATGACAATTCTTCACGATTCGGCAAATATATTGAAATAATGTTTGACCAGAAGACGAACATCATCGGCGCGAAGATTAGAACATATCTCCTGGAAAGATCGAGACTAGTGTTTCAGCCCCTGAAAGAGCGCAACTACCATATCTTTTACCAGCTCGTGGCTGGTGCATCGGATTTTGAGAAACAAGAACTTCGCCTTATGTCAGTTGAAGATTTCGATTATCTCAACCAGGGTGGCACATCAACGATAGATGGCGTCGACGATAAGGCTGAATTAAACGCAACAAGGAAGTCGTTATCCACTATTGGTGTACCAGAGCAGACACAGGCGGAAATTTTCCGTATCCTTGCAGCTTTGCTGCATCTTGGAAACGTCAAGATCGCAGCTACACGAACCGAGTCCTCTTTGTCCTCAGAGGAACCATCTCTTGTCCGCGCTTGTGAACTGTTTGGAATAGATGCCAATGAATTTGCAAGGTGGATTGTCAAGAAACAGCTTATCACCAGAGGAGAGAAAATCACATCGAACTTGACACAGCAACAAGCTATAGTCGTTCGGGATTCAGTTGCCAAGTTTATTTACTCCAGCCTGTTCGACTGGCTTGTGAACAAAATCAACCATGGCCTAGCAAGAGATGAAGTCCTGGACAGAGTGAGATGCTTCATTGGCGTGCTAGATATTTACGGGTTTGAGCATTTTGCCAAGAATTCTTTTGAACAATTCTGCATCAATTACGCCAACGAGAAACTACAACAGGAATTCAACCAGCATGTTTTCAAACTCGAACAAGAAGAGTACGTGCGGGAGCAAATCGATTGGACCTTCATTGACTTCTCGGACAATCAACCATGCATCGATCTTATCGAAGCGAAGCTTGGCATTCTATCCCTGTTGGACGAAGAGTCAAGGTTGCCTATGGGCTCTGATGAACAGTTTGTGACGAAGCTTCATCACAATTTCGCCGCCGACAAGCAGAAATTCTACAAGAAACCTCGTTTCGGAAAGTCAGCCTTCACTATTTGCCATTATGCTGTTGATGTCACCTACGAGTCTGATGGCTTCATTGAAAAGAACAGGGACACTGTTCCAGATGAGCACATGGAGATCCTACGCAACTCCTCGAATGAGTTCGTGAAGGAGATATTGGATACGGCCGCTGTTGTTCGCGAAAAAGACTCGGTTTCAATTTCCTCGTCCAAACCAGTTGCAGCCCCAGGGCGCCGGATCGGTGTCGCTGTTAATCGCAAGCCTACGCTGGGTGGGATTTTCAAGTCCTCGTTGATCGAACTAATGAACACGATCAATTCCACCGATGTGCATTATATACGCTGCATTAAGCCCAACGAGGCGAAAGAGCCCTGGCAATTCCAAGGACCCATGGTGCTCAGTCAGCTGAGAGCTTGTGGTGTTC